TTTCTAAAGTTTCCTTGAGAGCCTCCACCAGGTCACTATCTGATGTTATTCTAATCATGTCTCCTTCAGAATCTTTCCAAAATATCTTGTATAGATCAAAATTTGTTTCATATACAGTGCACGTATGATCAAATTCTTCCCAAGTTTCAAAACCAATTATGTCCATAACAATTTTATTTATTTTTGAATTAAAGTCTTTGAAGAAGAATGTTCCATTTCTGGGAGTGATGGCCAACCTTCTCACTTGCTGTTTATCTTTCCTTTTAAATTCAATGTATGCCTTCACCTTTACACTGTTAACATCCTGGAGATTCATGGCTGCTACTTTCTTCCAAGTCAGTGATGGCTTCAATGACATCGCTCTCGCTGGAGGTTGAGGATAATTCTAGTTGGTTCCCGAGGTTAAAACAAAGCTGAGGACTTGTGGCTGTGACAGTAGTTTAATTGAACTGAATATATAGGCATAATTTATGCACACTTAATTGTTGGTATGTTAATTCACACAATTCAATTATTTTATATCTTTGGCCAAGTACTTTTCCAAAGTGGCCATTTTTGGCCATATTTTCTTTAAAATTTGGCCATAAGCTGTTGTGTTCATATGGCAATCCTGTTCCCACTAGCATCACCACAGAGCAAAAGAGTAAGTCTATCCTTCATAGGCTTGTATCCTGGCAGTGCCTTTTCCTCCTGCATGATGTAGGTCCTCTTTGGCATTTTCTTCCAAAAGAGTCCTGTTTCGTCACAACTGAACACTTGTTGGGGATGAATCCTTCAACCTCTATGCACCCCTTGAATTCATGCATGAATTCTTCATCCGCACGTTTGTCTGAACTTGCAGCCTTGCCATGCCTTACAACACTGTGTATGCCACTACGCTTCTTAAATCTGTCAAACCAGCCTTTGCTGGCTTTAAATTCACTAACAGCAGCACTCAATCCAGACATTTTATTCACGAGATCCACATGCAACTGCCTTGCCTTTTCACAAATGATCGACTCCACAACACTATCTCCCCCTAACTGTTTATCGTTGATCCACACCAACAATAGCTTCTCCACATTTTTGATTGTTTGTGATCTTTGTTTTGTTAGCATATTTACCCCTTTTGCAGCATTAGCTTCCTTGATTTCTACTTTCTTTGCCAGGTTGGAAGTGGTTGTTGATTTGGATTTGCCATACATCCTGGCAAGTTCGAGCACACATCACTTTCGTACTTTGCTACAATTTCTTTCTTGAATTCTATCATGTTTCTCACTTTTTTTTACCAAAGGGCTGGCACTAGAACTTTCTTTTGGCCCATGGTGGCTTATTTCCCAGTTGCACTCAATCAACAACCACAAAAAACAATGGATTATGATGAAATGTTTGGATGAATGTGTGGAGTGTTGCTCACTTACTGAGAGACATGGCCAGACTGACTTACGCACGTGGCATGGCGGGCGAACGCGTCCAATACGGCTGATTTCTGAGTTGCCGGCTGAAATCCGGGATAGAATTTTGGCCAAAAAAGCGGCCAGAATCCGATTTGGCCGATATCTGCACTGGCCAATATCCGGGGGTCCACTATACTCATCTTTAAACATTACACTGTAATTAACCACAGTGTGGGTGGGGCTCAGACTCATGGCAGGCAAGTAGTAAAACACCATTCCAGTGCATTCGTGTTATTATGATTTTCTGAGTCAGTTACACTGTAATGATGATGCTTACATAAGACTTTTCCTGGAAAATTGTAATGGAATATATAAGCATCACTCTAGAACAAACACACTAAAGGGCAAAAATGTGGAATAATTAACCCTTTGGGGGTTTCAGCCGTACTAGTATGGCTTACGCCTCAGGGTTTTTGACGTACTACTACGCCTAAATTCTAGCGCCCTCAAATCTAGTGAGAGAAAGCTGGTAGGCCTACATATAAAAGAATGGGTCTATGTGGTCAGTGTGTGCAGTATAAAAAAAATCCTGCAGCACACAGTGCGTAATGAGAAAAAAAAAACTTTGTGTTTTTGGATTAAAATGGCGACTTTGCACTGTATTTTCGTATGGTGTTTATTGTTGTATTCTAGTTTTCCTGGTCTCATTTTATAGAATGGAAAACATATTACAGAAATTGAGATGATTTTGACTGGTTTTACAATGAAAAGTACCTTGAAATTGAGCTCAAAGTAGCAGAAATGTTCGATTTTTACCAAAGTTCAAAAGTAAACAAATCATGCCAAGCGTCCAATACACATCAACTGGTGAGTCTAATATTCTTTCACAAGTGCGCTGATATTATTTATACCATTTCTACACTAATGCAGTAGTCTGCATAACAGTAAATCTTCTATTTTTTGTAAGAATAAAAATTCAAAGTGGAAAGCCAAAGAAATATAAGAGGGGCCTGGAGATGTGACTAATGAGCTGAGAACTTGTTATTTTAGTGCCAGGAATGTCTTTCTTGTTTATTATGGACCCTATTCGGAAATTGGCATCTTTTGAAATTTGTGTGAAATTGGCAAAATTGCTAAATTCTGACCACTTTATTGGATAGTTGAAATCGGTAAATGGGTGGTACTCATGTACTCATGTACTCATTCGATAGAAAAAATGGAGTTCTAGCGAAATAGTTATGATTTTTTTGTCGACTAGTACACTGGAATTGGCCAAAAATAGGGCTCAAAGTGGTCTTGACGATGTTTACGCTGATGCGTAAACATCGTCAAGACCACTAACTTCGTGAGAGCATAATTCCGTAAGTTTTTCATCAAATTTCATACTTTTGGTGTCATTATGATCGGGAAAAGATTCTCTATCTTTTCATAAGAAAAAATAATTTTTTTTTTTTTTTTTTTAAATTTTGGCGACCCTGAGAACAAGTCTCTGAGAGGGCCTGGCGACTTCCAAAGGGTTAAACAAACTAAAAATTTGCAACATACTGAATTCAGATTAAAGCTAAAATATGTTCCGTGCTTACATAGTCCAATTGTTTCTAACTTTTTATTAACATAATAATGAACAATCTCTAATAGCAAACTGAGTTTTCATTGTACTTTCATAAACATCATTCAACCTTTTCAGATTTGTCAGTCTGTTTGTTTCTTAACCATTATTTTCTTGTCGGTGCATTCATTTACTAGAGCCTAAATGCATATACTACATACATAAAAAATGCCATAACTGTGTAGTTTTTAAGTATTAAATAGTCATAGTCTTAGTTTTCTTAAAATGCTGTGCATACTATGTGCCTCTTCATAGATGTGTGGAAAACTTTTAGTACAGTGGATCATAACATCCTGCATCTTAAACTGAATCATTATCTTAGTTCAGTAACAGACACCAGTATGTCTCCATCGATGGTGTAACCTCGTCAACTCGGCCTGTTAATACAGGAGTGCCTCTGGGCAGTGTTCTTGGCCCCTTCCTCGTCCACATATACATCAGTAATCTCCCCAGTGCATGTAGTCTCCTTAAATCTGTTCTGTTTGCTGACAATAACTTTTGTCATCTACTCAAATCTGACTTTTCTCAACAACATTGTCACTGATGAGCTCCTAAAAATTTCTACATGGATGACTAATATTGACAAAACTTACTACATGACGTTTGGAAACAGAGCTACAAATATCCAACAAGATCAAGATCAAGAGAGTTTAGGTAAAACCACATGTGGGGTGAGCTGGGAAGATGGGACAGGCGAAGAATAGCATTGGAGAGGAGTGTCTACAGTCGTAGAGAAAGTGCCAGGGCTTAACTCAGCAGGTAGGCGCTTGTGGGGCAGACTGGAGAATCAGGAGGAGCAGGGTCTGTTGCAACGGTCTTGTGGAGGTTGGAGGTCTTCAGTCTTGAGAAGCTGGCAGCAGGTTAGGTCGCAGGACAGGACAAGCAGGTAGGAACATCAGAGGGCAGCATACTGGTAGTGTTATTTGATGTGATTAAGGTGGCAGGTTTGTAGAGGAGCCATTTTCAAATTTCTTGAAGTTGCTCCTAGAGGAGTGGTAAAGTTTTGTCTTGTTTCTAAAGGTGAAATGTAGGGGCTTGAGGATTTCCAGAACTTGGGTGCGAAGTGAAGAGGTGGCTTGCAGGCAAACTTGATGGTTCCAGCACCTAGGGCTTTGTAGAGCTCAGTGCAGGTCCTGGTGTCAGTGTTACTTGGAGACGTGTAGAAGTAAAGGTTTACCCATGAGGGTGTATTGGAGTCATCAATAACTTCTTCAGATGTGGATTTGGTGGGTGAGTCTTCAATGGAGCTGGCAGGTGACAGTGGGTCAGCAGAAACAGTGGAGAGGTGTATTGGTGGTGTATCAACAGGTTGGGAGATGTGGGAGGCAGTAGTTGAGGCAGAATAAACAACATTGTCAGTGGTGGAGGTGGTTGTAAAAGATTCAGGAACAGTTGCTTGGGCAGGAGACAGATCTGCAGGTGCAGTAAAGTTCACGACATTGGGAAGGATCTTGAGAATATCAGCGGAAGGTGTGGGGTTCGGGAAATTGAAGGCAGGCAGGCATGTTGTTCAGACAGAATAGTTCATTTATGATGGTGTTGAAAGTGCAAGTTGATTGTTCTACTATATTGTATTTCTACTATTACTACTATCACTAGTATTACACCTCACTCTAAGCCTATATATACCCCTGTGTCCATGTATTGTTTGTAACAGCTTGATAAAACTCCCAGAGAGCGAAACACCACAATAAAATGTCACATTAGTTACACTTATGTCCTTTTACCTAACATGCTGCAGGATTGTAATTCAAATTAAATTAAAATTCTTTATGAATATTTATTAATATTATCATAGTCATTTCATTATTTGATACAAATTACTATTTGGAATACCTGTAGGTTCGGCTGGTTCATATTTTTTAGCAGAAATTTGTCAATCACAGAAATTCTCTTAAGCTTAAGACATAGATTTTTCCTTTAGTTTTGTTGAGACAATTATCACTTTACTTGAAATTTTATATTACTGGTTTGAAATTCACAAACATTTATAAAATTGCATTGGTGTAGAAATAATTTAACACTGTACTGTATATTTCAGTCACTTGCAGTATAGATGTCCTTGAGTGGGGAGGAGCAAGAGCTGCACTGTGTCTTGAGTTGGTTTACTAACTGGGAAGACCAACAGAAAGAACAGTTCCTCTCTGTTCTGGTAGAGAAGGCTGTACCCCCTGATATAGATCAGCTGTTCCAAGTATGACTCTTAACCACTTTTAATATATGCTTCTTTATTATGCAAGTTTAGTGCTAGTAATGTTGATCAGTCATATTAATGACCCTTGATTACATAATAATATATCAGAAGTGTTTCCAGAGGCTCATGACTATAACTCTTAATAAGCTGATTTTAAGGTACAGTGGAACCTCAAAAATCGAACTGCTCCCAACACTACCAATTATGTAAGTGTATTTTTGTAAGTGCTTTTATAAGTGTATTTTTGAGGGTCTGAAATGAACTAATCTAATTTACATTATTCCTGATGGGAATAAATTCATTCGGTAAAGGCACTCGAACAGCCTTCTGGACCGAAGAAAGTTCGATATTTGAGGTTCCACTTTATATGTATGTATTTAAGGTGCTATAAATATTTTAAATGTATTGTTAAGAGGCTTTCAAGGCTAAATGAAAGTAGTACGTTAATGTAATGTATTACAAGCGAGGAAGAAGTCCTTAAAATCAAAATAAAAGCAGACCTTACTATCACTAACTTCATGTAAAACCTTGGCCAAATAGTTGTGTGCTACTTGATTTACATGTGTATTTTTATCAGCTATCATTTGTGGACTGATAGGGACAGGATGCCTGTGACTTATCAAGGTTTATTATTACCTCTCCAGGTGTATTTCAGACTTTTCCATAACATCAACAGGTAGTGTTCTATGAGTTTATTTTTTTGGAAAAAATTTTTTGCCTGTAATACTGTTTGCAAACAGTATTACAGGCAGGCCCCTGCTTTACAATGCTTCGCTTTATGGTGTTTCGCTAGTTCAGTCTTATGGCATTCCACTAATATGGCAGTTTCAAATATTGACCAAAATTTGCTATACGGCGAGCATTCTTTCAAATACGGCACACCCCCTCCCGGTTTGTTTACATTTTCCATGTGCACATATCTCTGTTATGTCTTGAAATTTTCCAAAATTTCAAGCATTTTAAAGTTATTGCATATTTTATATGTACTCTGATAATTATACTTTTATTTATTTATTTATTTATTTACAATTTGAGCACACATACAGAGGTACAAAAAAATACAGATAAGAGCAGCATGCCAAAGCCACTTATACTATGCATAGCATTACGGGCTGGCTTAAAATTAACTTAAGATTAACTAAGCAATGATGAAATCAGTGATAAAACATTAATGTAAACAGATTACTATAAAGCACAAGTGAGTATTACAAAGACAGGTCATATGTGTACCTGTACCTAAATATACTTACTGTGCTGGCATTCAGGTACACATTAAAATCACTAAGTGTCTTTCTACTTGATGCCATATTATAATCTCTGGGGTGCATTAAATGTCATATATTACGTTAATATAGGCATTTCCATTAATCCATCTATGATATTTTTTCAAAATTATATACAGTGGACCCTCGGGTAGCATCGTCATCAGATAACGAAGAAATTGGATAGCAATACGTTTTTGCTTCAAAATATTGGCCTTAACCGAAAAAAAACTCGGTCAGGACATTCATCCCGAACATGTCAGCACGGTGTGAGTGGCCCAAACACTCCATGTATAACTAGTGTGCCATTGTTTACAAGCCAGTGAGGACGATTCCACGCATACATGCGATATATTTTGTATTATTCCATTGTTTTTAGTGCTTGTAACTGCTAAATAAGCCACCATGGGCCCAAAGAAATCTTCTAGTGCCAGCCCTGTGGTAAAGAGGGTGAGAAACACTATAGAATTCAAGAAAAAGTTTGTAGAAAGATACGAAAGTAGTAGTGGTAGAGGGTGGTAGTGATGGTGGTAGTGATGGTGGTAGAGGGTGGTAGTGATGGTGGTAGAGGGTGGTAGTGATGGTGGTAGAGGGTGGTAGTGATGGTGGTAGAGGGTGGTAGTGATAGTGGTAGAGGGTGGTAGTATGGGCCAACAGCTCTGTTGCAGTGTTTCTGCTTTAGTAACGATGGGACTACCCAACACAGCCAGAATTCCATGTCCAGCCAGTGTCTTCCCACTTACCATCCAGGTACTTCCCATGACCAGCCAGGTACTTCCCACATACCACCAGGTACTTCCAACACCAGCCAGGGAACTTCCCCAATACCAGCCAGGGTACTTCCCCACATACCAGCCAGGGTATTTTCACCACCAGCAGATTTGACTACCAGCCAGGATACTTCCCCACATACCAGCCAGGTTACTTCCCCCACATACCAGCCAGGGTACTTTCCCACACACCAGCCAGGGAACTTTTGCACATACCAGCCAGGATACTTCCCCACATACCAGCCAGGGTACTTCCCCACATACCAGACAGGGTATTTTCCCACACACACACGATTTGATTTGATTGGGACTTGCGCATGAGTGAATAGAATTATCAAAGCTTATTACTTGGGAAGCATTGAAAATTGGGTTGGGCAAATATGATTCTGGTAATGGGATGGTTTGTGAAGGACCTGCCTAGTATGGGCCAACAGGCCTGCTGCAGTGTTCCTGCTTTCTTATGTGCAAACATTTATGGATGAACATCACCCTGACACAGCTGTTGCAGGCCGTGCTGGCAACATCTACAATAACAATGTTGTGTCCCATTTTAGGGAAATCTTAAAGAGACGCCAGAAACAGAGCTCTCTGGACAGATTTTTGGTGCGACAGGGATCCAGTGACTCACAAGCTGGTCCTAGTGGCATTAAAAATAAAGAAGGAAGGTAACCCCAGAAAAGGACTTGTTACCTGAAGTCTTTATGGAAGGGGATTCCCCTTCCAAACAGTTGCAAACTCCTCCATCCTCTCCCCTCCTCCCATCTCATCACTCATCAATACATCTTCAATAAAGGTAAGTGTCATTTCAGTATTGTTTATTCTGCATGTCTCATTGTTTTCTGTGTAGGGAAATGTATATTTCATGTAAAAAAATTATTTTGTTTAATACTTTTGGGTGTCTGGAATGGATTAATTAGATTCCCATTATTTCTTATGGGGAAAATTAATTTGGATAACGAAAAATCGGTTAAAGACAAGCTCTTTGTAACGGATTAATGTCGTTACCTGAAGGTCCACTGTAATAAAAACGCTACATAACATATAAACATGATACATACACCACAGTATAAAAATTGACATAAATACGAGATTTGTTTACCAAGCGGTTGGTGGGAGGGGGCGGAAGAATTATGTTTTCTCTAGTCAAACACCAGTAACTTAACTAGAAATTTATTCCTTTGTATGCCTTTACTCTGTCTATAGCTATTCATGACTCTTGTGGGTTTAGTGCTTCTTTTTTATTATGATTATAATAATACATGATACATACACCACAGTATAAAAATTGACATAAATACGAGATTTGTTTACCAAGCGGTTGGTGGGAGGGGGCGGAAGAATTATGTTTTCTCTAGTCAAACACCAGTAACTTAACTAGAGATTTATTCCTTTCGTATGCCTTCACTCTATCTATAGCTATTCATGACTCTTGTGGGTTTAGTGCTTCTTTTTTATTATGATTATAATAATACAGTGGTCCCTCGTTTATCGTCGTTAATCAGTTCCTGGAAGTGCGACGATTATCGAAAAAGACGATTTTCGAATAAATTTTCCCCATAAGAAATAATGTAAATACAATTAATCCGTTCCTGACACCCAGAAGTATTAAAACAAACATTTTTTTTACATGAAATATAGATGTAGTACATAAACAATACAATGGGACATGATGAATGAAACATTAACAGCATAACACTTACCTTTATTGGCGATTCTTCTTAGTGTGTGGAAGACTGGAGGAGGAGAGAGATTGGATTAGTTACTCTTTGGAAGGGGAATCCCCTTCCATCAACACCTTAGGTACCAAGTCCTTTTCTGGGGTTACTTCACTTCTCTGTTTCTTAATGCCACTAGGACCAGCTTGAGAGTCACTGGAGTCCTGTCTAGCAAACAAAGTGTCCAGAGAGCTCTGTTTCTGGCATCTCTTTAAAACTTCCCTAAAATGGGCCAAGACTCTGTCACTGTACAAGTTGCCGATATGGCTTGCAACATCCTTCTCAGGGTGATGTTTCTCCATAAATCTTTCCATCCTACCCCACATTTCAACAATCTCCTTAATTTCTGAAGAAGGCAACTTCTTCCATCTCTCTTCCTCCTCCTTCCTCCTTCTCATTTATCCGCACCAATAATAGCTTCTCTACCTCTTCGAGTACTGGTGATCTCATATTTGTCAGCATATTTACCCCCTTTGCAACAACAGCTTCCTTGATTTCCTTTTTCTTGGCCATGATAGAAGATATGGTTGTACAGGATTTGTTATATATCCTGGCCAGTTCAGCAACACATACGCCACTTTCATATTGTTCAATGATGTTTTTCTTAAATTCAGTCGTATTTCTCACCTTCTTTACCAAAGGCTTGGCACTAGGAGCTTTCTTCGGAGCCATGGTAGCTTATTTAGCACTTGCAAGCACTAAAATGAATGGAATATTATGAAATATTTCGTATGAACATGTGAGGGGACTGTCACTCACTGGTAAACAAAGGCACACTGGCTGGGAAGGGAGGCCGAGGCGGCTCAGAGCCGTGAGTACGCGTCCAGGACGAACAACGATTAGTGAGTTAACCGACCATTTGCGAGCCAATGTTTGGACTAAAATACCGTGACGATTTCTGAAAAGGACGACTATCAAGCCTGACTATTATCGAGGGACCATTGTACTACTACTAATAATAATAACTTGTATTAATAATAACTTGTAATAATAATAATTTGTAATAATAATAATTTGTAATAATAATTTGTCAGGGCATCATTCCTTCTAAAAATTGCATGAGAATGGAAGTTTTGGTCTTTATTTATTCTACTGTACCACTGTCGAGACAACTGGTAGACAATGTTAGGTGTTTATATTATGATACAAACTTGACAAACATGGAAATGAACGAGTATCAACCCACCAGCCGTGTTCGTCTGTTTGTTCACATACTCTGCGGCTCTGCCCTCTCTCATTTACTCATTCTCTCT